ATCCCTGCTCGAAACATTATACAAATTTTTATAGCTATACAATATACATGAGAGATATAGAGAGACGAGCGCCTCGTGCTTTCAACCGATGGCTAAATTAGCATGTGTGTTTATAAACATTCCCTGCACGCTCACACCCGCGCGCGCCAGCAAGACGATTAATTGACGCGATTAGCAGCCGCTACTGCCTGCCTGCCTCTCGACTAATCAAGGCCCCGCATAATGGGCAAAATAGTTAAGTGCAGCGGCGGCGGTGGCAGTGGCTCTCTCTCTCGAGCAACTGAATTATTCGATCGTTCGCATTAGAGATTGCGAATAATTTCACCGCTGCTGTGCATCAGAGATGCTGGTATACTTACACACTCTATGTTGTATATTGATATACTCGGCAAACAACGACGAAAGATCGGTTTGATGCGTATGTAGACGGTCGTGTGCGAGAGGAAAAAACAAACGAGAAAGAGAGAAACGCATTGGTTTTACGGAAATTGGTTGCGTGTACCAGCCCGCGAGCGTCTAGAAATGCAGCTCTGGAAATCGAACAAATCTGTCTTTAATGAAGTCATCCTAGGCTGCTGCTGCTAACGCTGCTGTTGATCCTGCATTAAAGCTCGATTTCGTGTCTCTCTCTCTCTCTAACGAGCTCACCCTCGTCAAGATATCAGCTTGCTGCGCGCATTACTCGCATCGAAAACGTTCAGCAATTGCAGCTCGCGTGTGTGTGCGTGTGTGGGCAAGTAGTAGTAGTAATGGTACGCGGGTGGCGTAATGTGCTTACAGATTCAGACGCTAATCGGATGCGAAGCTATACTCCTATACACCGATCGAGACAGGACTCAAGCTCGTATTATTATAAGCAATAAACGCGCAGACATCAAACTGACGCGTCTCCTTATTTTTTTCCTAATGCTTTGCGGAAAATCGCATCGCGTCTTTATACAATTATATAAATCGACCAGCATAACGGATACAGACAATATTCCGCAAAACGGCAGTGTCCGCGCTTATAGCCTATCGAGCGTCGACAGTGGACGAGTCTAAATTATAACCCCGCGCGCCGCTGACTGCTGCCGCTGCACCGGCCGTTCTGCGGAGAGAAGCTACGAGAAGAGTTGCCGTATACGCGCAGTGTGCAGGTATAATGAACTTTCCCGCGTGCTTCGCTCTTCTCTCTTTCTCGGCTGCAGTAGCAGCAGCAGCAGTGGAGCGCCAAAGAGGTGGGACCATCTCGGCAGCAGCCAGCACACGCTTATATAGTTACCTGCTACTACCGCGCGCAACCCGCAAGATCGTATCGCAAACGCGAATTGCAGCCTATACGTATATATATTTTATAAATAAGAAATAAGGGGGTATCTCTCTCTTTCGCGCACACACACACACAAACTGCAGCAGCGCGATACATAGCTACCACATCGCTGCGAGCGATTTTTTTAATTTCTCTTTGAAGCTTATACGCCCCGGGTGCAGTGTGTGTTTGTGTGTTTGTTTGTATCGAAGCTCGTGTGCCCGCGCGCGCCCGCTAAACTTTTCAAACGTTTTCGCGGTATACTGTACACGTACGAATGCGTGCTGCTACGTTTGTATACGACGCAAAAAAGCTCTCTCTCTCTCTCTCGCTCTCTATATATTTCTCTCGCTTGCTTTTTTTTCTTCTCTTTAGTTGACCGCAGTTAAACAAACAGCGATAAAGCTCGTATATGAGCGCGGCTCGGACAGCAGTAGCAGTAGCAGTAGCCTCGCGCGCTGTGTGCGATACGGCGCATTAAGGAATAACCCAGTTTTCAAAGCACAGCCAGGCAGCAACAGCAGAGCACGCTCGATACATATAGAGATATATACATGGTGGTATATTCCCTCTGCCCGTTAACGTCCCGCAGTTCATAGCTAAATAGGTACGCGCACCGTAAATCTCAAAGCGAGTGTTTCTTTTTTTTTTTTTGTTGCTTTCATCGTTGATTTGCTCGAAAAGTTTGGTGGTGAAGTTTTCCTCTCTTATTTGTTTTTTCGATCGTTTTTATATTTTTCTGTCTTTTCCTCCTCCTCCTCTTCCCCGCGCGCGGTTCGATCTATTCGATGATCAGCGGAGGGGATGAGCACGATGATAATAGTTCGAGAGTATTTCATAGATATACACAGAAAGCTGGAGCTTTTTTGCAATCTCCATGCTTTGGAGCTATATAGCCAAGCTCGAATTCCCGACGCGGTAATATTCAAGTGCCGAACGGTCAAAAGGGAGAGAGTAAGAAGGAGAGAGGGCGATCTTTACAAGACCTATACGATGATATCCATTGTTGGTCGGCCGGCCGAAAAGAAAAATCTTCGAGTCACTGGAAATCCAGCGCATCGCGCGTCTTTATTCCTCGACTCGTCGTCGTCGTCTCCGCCGCCACCGCCGCCGATTCGCCAACTATCGACCAACTTTTAGCCGTAGCAGACGCGCGCACAAAGACGACTGATGTGTTCAACTAGCTCGCATCGTGAATGCGCGCCAGTCGTATTTTCATATAATACCCCGGAGAATCGTCAATGAAATCGAACGTTTTGCCTGTGCACAAATATTCCCCCGGGAATGTTGATGCTAATCCCGCGATGTATATCGTTTACTTGTACATATATAATGTCTTATGCCTTGTGTATATTATCCGCAGTTGCAGTGTGCGTCGTGTCGATATATGAATGACAATCGCATCGATCGATCGTTACTTTGAATGAGCACGCGCGAGCGAGCGAGCGATCTTGGTCGTTTCTCGCCGCGATAATACGAGCGTGCGCGCGCGCGATGTTGCACGCACTCGTAAGCTCAAAGTAGAAAGTGCGCGGCAGCAAGAGAAAAAAAAACATCGAGTCAATATTTTACACGTAAAAGGCGTACGTCCGAATCGTCGTCGTCGTCGTCGTCTGCGAAAGTATCCGCGTGCGCGTGCAAAGGAGAGATAGAGGTAAAATGATTGTCAGCTGCTATTTGCGAGCTGCAACTACGAGGGGATAAGCGCCGTAACTCGGAGACTCGCGGTTAAGTCGGAACGAACGACGACGACTATTATGTAGCCCTGCAAGCAGGGCTGCGAGCCAGTGAATAGTGTCAGTGCGCGGGATATTCTCGCGCGCGCAACCTTTCGCAGCATCGAAGCGCGCGGCACGGATGATCCGGATAAAGGAGCTCGCCTCTGCCTCTCTCTCGTCGGGCCACTGCCACCACAGTCGTCGCCGGAAAGCCCAGATTCAGCTTGTTGATTCTCACTCGCGCGACCGACGTAGAGTCGTCCAAGACACGTCGTTTTATATATGGTTCGATATACATGCGCTACGTGTGCGGCACGTTGCACTACGCGTGTGCAGTGCTGCTGCTGCTGCTGCTCAGTGGCGCGCATCGGTGTTGCTGCTGCTGCAGCTACAACAGTTTGGCCTACTTTCGCGAATCGTGACTGAATATCCCCCATGTTGGCGCGCGTATAGTCAGTTAAAGTGTGTCTGTGCCTGTGTGCGTGTGCGGTATGTATGTAGCATGTAACACGGCAATATTTCGAGTGTTTACAGCCGCCGCGTTATATATCTTGTACCTTATGTGTATAAACGAATTTTGCAAAGAACTGCATGCCGTGAGAGAGCTCGCTCGCGACAATTATGAATCGGCTGTGAATCACGAGCCGAAGATTCACGAGCGTCCTGTATATTATAATATAAATCCGCTGCGTATACATAAAAAGCCAGGAAATTTTAATGAACGCGAAGCCCGAACTGAGTTTGCGGCTAAAGGTAAACCAGACGCGATAAATTGAGTACATTGATTTCGGCTCCGTGTGTAGCATAGTAGGTATTATGCACCCCAAAGTGCAATTCGAATCGATCATTCGCGCACGGAGAGTCGCGTACGCATATTGTGCAACGTATACATGGCAAGTATACATACGTGTAAAATGATCGAATCGGAGAGGCTCACGGAATATATATTTGCATGGACAAAGGCCGAAGAAGAATCGAGCTGCAATTATCGCGATTTGCCATCGACGATCTAGATCGCGAGTGCTGGGCTCGAGTTTGTAATAATACAAATTTTCGTATTTGCGCAGTGCGTAGCTCCGTATTATACATAAACGTTATATGATGGTTATAAGGCGGCGGCCATTCGATGCGTTATATTCAAATGAATCTCTTATGCACACATACCGAGCGGCGTACGGCCGCAATTTGCATATGAATATGCCTGTACGCGAGCAGGCCGCAGCAGCAGCACCGACACAAGCGCAATGTATATTAATACTGCTACTACTACTACTTGGTTGCACCGCCGGTACTCGTTCAAGGTCGTCGTCGTCGTCGTCGCGCCGTAGCGTATCGCGACGGAGAGCGAGATATACCGCGTGTAATGATATTGCTCAAGGCGTGTGCGCGACTCGACTGCATCGCTCGTGCGTATGAGTGCAGTGCGCAGTGTGCATTGAAAGGTGTATATGTTACTGCGATATACATCGTTGACACCACCACTGTCGTAAACGCATGTACTGTGTATATGTTATACAGAAGAGCAGTACGCGATTACTCCAAAAAACATTTGATTCGATCGAGTCGAGTGCTCGAATTTTTGGGTTAAAGTTAGAGGTAAAGTTGAAGTAAAAAGTTGAATTAAAGTTTTTGAATTTTGTTTCGTAATGGCCGACTAAAACTATACACAAGGTACTGCGCGTATAAATCCTCATGCCTCGACTCAAAAATGACTACATCCCTGCCACTGTAAAAAAATCTTGTAAAGGTCTCAGTTGCAAAAAGTCTCATGTGTACTTGACTATCAGCCTCGTCTGCTTATCTGTAAAACTACAAATATGTAAGCTTGAATCCGAATGATTCAGAAACGATTAGAAAACGTTAGTAGAGCTTTGTTTATACCTAGTCGCGTAATGTTGACATAATTTTCGCACGTTCATGCTCTCGTGTTCAAACACGCGAAGACCAACCCATCTTCGATGAAAATTAGATTTCCGCTCGTTACTGTACAAAGCTAGCGCTTCTTCCATCTTTGATAGCTTGCCGACCACAGCCAAGAAGATCGGATCGATTGTCGCGAGTGATTTTCGTGAATAAAAGAAAAAAAAATTTCTCATACTACAATTGACTGTGTGCGGTGTTACTTTCGATATCATGGTTTTTCTTGATAAACGCTCAGGCTTTCAAAAATTGAAGAGCTTAAAACAAAATGTCAATTGGAAAATCGAAATCGAGCGAAGATATCTTCTGGACAAACTTTATTATTTGTTCACCCGTTGGCAGGGTCAATTACCTAATCTTCTGGACATTTTTTTGCCCGAAGAAATTGATTCGATTCTCACAGATTCCGTTAAGTACATGTGCAATGGATATGAAGGAAAAGAAATTGTTAGGTTCGTGGCTCAGACCGGCTACAAAGATAGGCCCAAAGTTGAACAAGACGGCAATCCATCGTCGCGTCGCACCACAGCAGTGCATCGTGCGTTCACGACCAGATACGAACTCGTCAGTTTGCTCTTTAAGATTTACGATAATTTTGACGTGAATTACACCGACGAGTCTGGCCTCACGCATTTCCATGTGGCCTGCAAGTTTGGCTGCGAAGATGTTGTTAAAAAATTCCTCGAGCGAGGCCAGGATCCCAATTGCCTCGTGCCAGATACAGGTAATACGCCTCTCATCTATGCAGTGAGCAATACCTGCCCCGAGGTGGTCGAGTTACTGCTGAAACACGGTGCCAATCCGAATATAGCCAACAAGGATGGATCAACACCTTTACACGTTATTTGCGAGCGCATTGTAAAAGATGATGATTTTATGGACATGTTCTTCGAGATCAGCAAAGGCGTCAATCAGACGGTGCAGGTAGACGCCCGGAACAGGTACGGCGACGCACCATTGCACTTGGCTGTTCGCGACAGCAACGCGAAGGCGATTGAATCGCTACTGAGAAACGGTGCCGATCCGAGCTCAGCTGTTCATTTAATTTGCATGAGACCCGACGATGACAACTTGGTGAGGCTATTCTTCCGGATCAGCGATGAAGTCGATAAGCCGTTGCAGCTCAACGCCTTGGACGAGTTGGGTCGGACGCCACTGCATATCGCTGTGGCCGACGGCTGTAAAGAACAGATCGTCCGAGAGCTGCTTGCAAGAGGCGCCGACCCTAATACGGCTGACCAGGAAGGATCGACACCTTTGCATTGTACTTGCACGAAATACCGCGACGATGACGCGGCGAACATATTCCTCGAGCTCACCGACGAATTCACACAGGCGGTTCAGATCGACGCGCAGGACGGGCTTGGTAATACACCGTTGCACTTGGCTCTGAAGAACGGACACATGGATGTGGCCAGGATGCTGCTAAGAAGAGGCGCCAGTTCGGCTTCGGTTAACCAGATGAGAGCTACACCTTTGCACATTATTTGCGAGTCATTCTATCTCAACAGAAATTACCGTACCAAACAATTCGAGATTGTCCAAGAGCTGCTGAGAGGAGACGCCAATTCGTTTTCAGCCAACACCGAGGGATCGACTCCTCTGCACGTTGCTTGCAAGAGACGCGGACTCGAGGATGACTTGGCGTCTATATTGTTACGCGCGATTAGCATCCGCCATCTAGTCAATTATCGGGACAATGAAGGTAATACACCGCTGCACTTGGCTCTGTTTCGTGGACACACACGAGTGGCCGCATCTCTACTGGAAAGTGGCGCTGACCCAAATCTGGCTAACAATTTGGGTCAGACGCCTCTGCACGTCGTTTGCAATAGACCAGACCGTGATTCGGCGAGGATATTTTTGAACGCGAGCGAAGCAGTCAATCGAGCGGTGCAGGTCAATGTCCAAGACCGGTTGGGTAACACACCGTTACACTTAGCTGCGGAGTGCAGCAATGCGAGAGCGATTAAAACGCTGCTGAGAAGAGGCGCCAGACCGAATTTAGTCAATCGGCATGGGTTGACAACTTTGCACGTCATTTGCAAGAGAGACTGCGACGATGATGACTTGTTGAAGATATTCTTCAAGACCATCAACAAAATACATGCAACGGTGCAGATCGACGCCAGGGACAATTTGGGCGAAACACCGCTGCACGTGGCTGTGTCTCTTGGCCATAAAAAATTAATCAACTTGCTACTGAGATACGGCGCCGACCCGAACATGGCTAACAAGAGCAAAGTGACACCTCTACATATTATTTGCAAGAGAGACCGCGACGACGGTTTGGTGAAGATGTTTTTCGACGTCAACGAAGAACTCAGTCAACTTGTGCTGGTCGATGTCCAAGACAAGTTGGGCCGGACACCGCTGCAATGGGCCGTGGCGAATCTTTGGCCCAATATAATCGACGTACTCTTAGATCATGGGGCTGATCTGTCTAGCTTCGTTTTTCCCGATGAGAGTTACTTCGTTGAAAGATTAGAGTCGCGGTACAATGAAATTACACTGGATTTCAAATTAAAACTAGCGGCTTCCGCTCTGATTATCGTTGAACTTCTTGAGAAGAAAGGATACGAGCTGGACCGAAGCGATGCCCTAACGATCATGCGATTTTTTGCTAATCTCGAAATGTCCGAGCTGTTCGCGGGTCTTGACGAACGTTGGTATGACAATGAAGAGTTTACGGAATGGGCGAAAAATTTGAAGATAGGTGAGAGTCCGTCGCTCTATGATTTGATTCGGTTGCGACCCGAGGAGGCGGCAAAGCAATTTTGGAACTATTACAATTTAGCACAACGGGGTTTATTGCAACACTGTCCTCGAGGACAAAGACAAGCGTGTCTTGTCCATCTGTACGAAATAATGTCGAGAAAATTTTTCCAAGATTGGACTATGGATTGTTTTTGTGAGAGTGAAATGATCATCGAGGAGCTAACGAACAAAGATTTATACAATATATGCTTGGCCGCTACAACCCGCGTAAAAAAAAATCGATGTCAATGCTTACGCCAAATATGGGCCATATTTCGTGCATACTTGGGCCAGGTTATGAACTTTTTTTACGCGGGAACGTAGAGCTACGTCGATCAGCGTAATTGCAGTATTATTTTAGGTATAGAGTAATCTAATTTTGTATAAGTTACATATTTAAATAAATATGTACTCTCTAATTATGTATAAATTACATATTTATATAAATTTTTATTAAAAAAATTATTTTCTACTTTTTTATTCATAAGCATACGAAAATAAAAAAATATACACATTATAAATATAAGTATTTATTAAAAACGAAAATAATAATACTTAATGCAATTGAAAAAGTTCAAATGATACTCAAACCAAGTACGAAAACTGGACAAATCGAACGTAAAACATCGAATACTTGTGTGCAGTTGCGTAACGAGAGCTGCATAAAATCGTCTTTTTGGACACACAAAAACATTCACGCTCTAACATAGACGTGGCTTTACATAAACGTGGCTCGCGGAAGAGCTTCGATTATTATACGTAATATTATATAGTAAAAGCCACAAACTGTTTGCAGAAACGATATCCTTTCTGACGTCTTTGCGTAGGGCGAAGATCTTTCGGATATTCAGAACTCGAGCTATGTTCCTTCTCGCGCCTTTTATGTGTATCAGAACGCACCCACGCAGCAACGCATGCATATAACAACTCCTCGGTCATCGGTTGTAACGATCGCATCCGTACGATTCAACTATATATGAGCTCGATAAGGCCGCGCGTGTAAACATCTGTCGTATACGTTGCTTTGTTATTGCGCACGACGACGACAGTAAAATTCAACGTATACTACACACGCACGTCACGAGCTGCAAACTCTATAATACAGTAGGTATCCATATAGGAAAATTGGTAAATGTAACTATCGGGACATCACGGATAGGAGACGAGCTGCTCTGCGCACGCAATCGAAGTGAGATTTCGTTAGCATACAATTCGATTAATCATTTACTTTGTCCCTCGCAAAAGCTCCGAAGGACATCGGCACACGATTGATATGTGTATGCGATAAAACTGCAGAAAGATACTGTAATTGAATCGAGAGAGCATATAGAGCTCGTACATCGACGCGAGCACGCTGACCATTATAATTATGCCGATGCAGAGTAACACGTCGCCGTAAAAACATTGCACGCGTCCGACGAAAATTCATTACAATATTTTTTTGTCGCTCGACGTCCGAGCACCAGCGAGCCAAGTATATAACAATATATATATATATATATATATAAATATTTCGGGGGAAGCTCGCGCATAAGCGCAAAAGTAAATTTTTCGACGATTTATCGCCGTCCGGAGAGGAACAGAAGCTCACTTGTGCTCGTTACCAGCTACGAAGCCGATTACACGCGCGCAAGTTCAAACTCACTGCAAAATGCAGTGCGTATACATCATCCCCCTGCACGAGCTGCGAACGAAGGTATATATATAGTATGTGCGTGTACGTCACGGTACTATTGGTAATCGAGTGCGCTCTCACATGTATGTATAATAATAATGCGAGCTTTGCAACGGGAATTAAAGATGCATGCGGAGCTGCAGAGTTCACACATCGAGTCACGAACTTTTTTCGAGAGAACGAGAGAGAGATAATTTAATCATCGAGCTTTAATCGCTCGGTCGATTTAATAAGTATAAAAAAGGTATGAAAGCGAAGCTAACTCGGCGATAGAATATTTCAGGTTTTTTTAAATTGGCTCATATATATTTTTCATTAAATGTGCTTTTTTCAATTTAATTTCAGCAAGATTCGTTTCGTATGTCACTTTAGACAAATCGACTTCGTCAAAGCAAATTAGCAGCGTGTGCAGCATGATTACGCAAGCAGCAGGTTTGCTTCCTCGTACCCTATTAGCGAGTCCTCTGTGTAGATCCCCGTTGCGTTCATGCTTATGTATCCGGGCGCGAGGGTGTGCGTATGTGCGAGTGATAGACAAAGCCTACATATATATATACGACGAGCTCGTGCACGCGCGGATCATGGCAGCTCCGGGTGACGTGCGATTTCGTAACGCGCGCGTCGAGTCCTGCAGTGTGTATAATATATAGACCACCGAGTGTACACGCGTGATCGGTGCCGAGCATGGGCAGCAGCTGTATCGATCGCGGGTAGAGCTAAAGCTCTAATTAATACGCGGGCGGCTATCGCTCGCGGGTCATCGACGACGAGCGCACAAAACTATACTCCGAGAGATGAGGATTTAGGCGGAGAAAAGCTCGAGCTGAGCTTGCGCGTAAGTCGTCATATAACGAGAACTGTATTTGATTGTTAACGCATGGGATTGCTCGAAATAATAGCTAGGGTAATGATGACGATGATCGTGAAACGTTATGCTATATTGGGAATAATTGTGGGTAAAACCAGGCGACGAGGCAGCAGCACGTGTAGAACGACCGACATCATCCTCGAGCCAGCAGCGGCGTCGTGTCCGTCACCTACATTTGCAATATATTATACGTGCTCCATCGCTACTCATGAACTGAATATTATATGCTTCGAGTTACCAATTTACGTGCGCATATCTATGCGTACACACATCGGAATGGTCAATGCGTTTGCAGTCCAGTTCTCACTCGTGTATGTGCGTATACGTGTATTTGCGCTACACCCGAAGCGGAGCGATATTGGATTTAGCGCTCTCAGGCTTAGTATAGGTATATACCTGACAGGCCGGCCGCCCCCGTCTTACCCTCACCCGCTCGCGGATAATTGCGATGTATATAGATGCGCTCTCGACGATCTATAATACGGTATCTGCTACTGGGGTAGCTCTCGTTGTATGTGTTGGATGCTGCATATCGAGAGATAAAACGTCCATCCGTGAATCCTCACCGATATTTAAGCCGTAATGGATACATATATGCGTGTATCGATACATGCACGATCTAAGCGGGAGATGATACACCTGATGCAGCGCATGCACGTGGATCAAGACTAGCAATAAATTTTCGACCAGCGACATAAACGTCAGCAGCTATATCGTTGCGCACGCATGTTATAATATATAATATCGATGCGCTTTTCAGGCGTACAGATAATAGCTCCAGTGCGAGATATCTGCAGCTATATAGTACGCGAGCGAGCTAGAGCAAGAGAGAGAAGCTGAAGTAGGTGAAGGTAGTCGCGCGTCAAGTCCTTTTATTGCAGCTGCAGCACGTTTTATTGTTTGCCCGCGCGTACGCGTTTAATTGAACTTGTTGCTCAGCTCGACGCTCGATTCGCGCGATTACGCGTTCGCTCCCTCTATCTCTCTATACATACGTACACAGCTCGCGCGGATGCATTTCTCTCGCGCGGTTCGTGGCAGAAAATATATTACATATGTACTGTATGTGTGTGCTGAAAATCAACCACCGACCGAATTTATGCTACACACATCGCAAAAGTTTTCTCTAGTTTATACATGTAATGTAATTCGAACTTCTGGCTCGGTATTACGTGCAGTGTATATTACGCGTATTAGGCGGTTGGTTATATCGTATACGAATTCAAAGTCGGCGTCGTTTATGTTAATCATTTTGCAATTTCATTACGAAAATATAAATGATAATATTGAAATGTCGCTCAACATTCGAATTATTATTAAATCATTGCACATCGATTTTCACGTGATATAGAGACGCAGCAATTGACTTGCTCTAACGCACTTCATGCATTCAATCGATGCAGTAGTAGCTGTGGGCTCATGATTATTCGGTAAACATGCAAATAGTTTTAGACTTTTGATTTGCTCTTGATTGAATTCTAGCCATAACCTCGTTGACCGATATCAAACACAAAACGTACAAAAGTGTTGAAGTTTATCTGTGCGCGTTCGCAGTTTAAATTTAAAGCACAGACGTCTGTAACAATGAACAATTTTTGTTTTTATTCTCCAAAAATTTGCTCTCTACTGCTGCTGCTCTGGCTCTGGCGCTGGCGGCGAATCGACTGTGTCAAGAGTACGTAAAGGTAAAATATTCATGCAAGAACGTGTAGCGTATGTATAAGTGCAAAATGTATAGAGAAGGAATAGCGGCTACATATTTTACTGCATACATGTACGTATAGACGCGCTCGCGCGTACACCAACATGGTACCGCAGACATTGAATAATTCAGAGTCGCGCAGAGCTGCAGTTGGCTTTCCAAGATATATAGATCCTTTACGATATACATATATCTGTGGGTCAAAATAATACTTTTTTAAATTTTGCGCCCGCGCGTGGGTCACCGATTTTGACGCGCTTATTCAGCGTATTACGGTGCAGCGCAGAAAGTCCGGAAGCCGAGATTACGGACCTCGGTATAAAGCGATTCGTAAGGACCACAAATCATAGAGAGATCTGTTTTCTTTCAATACCGATTCAGTGGTAATTTTTTTATTTGAAAGAGCTGAAAAAATTCACAGTACTGCCTCTAAACAATTCAAATAGTTCTAAATTTTTTTTCAGATTTTTGCAAGTTTTAATCCCCTCTAATTACACATCACTTTCCAAAACTCGATATAGTCTAAAATTATAGTTCTGTATACACGCTACTATACTGTACAGACACTATTGTTTGTTTACAATTAGCGTATAGGCGCGTAGACACGGACCTACGTGACAGGAAAAACGATCGCCTAGGCTAGAGTGATCGCGACTTTCCGTCGTTAGCCTTGTATCCTCTCGTTTCCTCTTCTTTATCTTTGGCTGTTTTGAGGGCTATATAGGGGCGGTCAAGTTCCAGTTCGGTCTCCAAATTTTTAAGTTATCGTATCGACGTTTTGTTTCAACATGTCCCCAGCACCAAGTAACAGCGAAAAGAGAAGTCCCTCAAGACGCAGCAGAAGTACAAGAACGAGACGAAGAGGGATGCGCGCGATCGACGCCAGCACGAACAGACAGCCGCTTCTACACGTTGCCGCCCAGCACAGGCGCAGAGACGACGTAAAAAAACTACTGGAGAACGGAGTCAAATCGAATGAACGGGATCGCAGGTACCGGTCGACGGCTCTTCACGCGCTCGCACGGCTCAATTTGAGCGAGTGCGCCACGAGCTGCGACGTCTGTACGAGCGGGGTACGAGCCAGCGACATCGTCGACGCGCTGATCGAGAAAGAGGCAAACATCGAGGCGCGCGATCGCAACGGAGACACTCCTTTGCAATTGGCCGTGTCGCGCCTCAATGTGGAAGTCGCGAGAGCCCTCCTGGGAAAGCGTGCGGACCCGAGCGCTTTGAACGAAGACCGAATGTTTGGCATGAATTTCAATCGAATGGAGTTCAAAGACTATTGTCCAACGTTGAAAATTATTGAAATGATGGAACTATTTCAGTCATCCGGCTACAGGATGGATACTCACACGAGACTCCGGGTGATAAAATATTGGATGAAAGTGAAAAGAAACGATACAAAATATTTACTACTTAGTAGTAACGATGGTGAGATAGTCGAATTATCCAAGCGCAATAATTTCAATCTAGATGTGATTGATTGTTCTTTTCTCTTATTTAACAGGTATACGACCTATGATGATCGTCACGATACGATTATTCTACGATAGAAGTGAATTTTATTTAGAGAACCAAGTTTCAGATTTTTTGAATCAAAAATACGAAGAATTGGGACCAAGAATGTCAACTTTGTACGACGCGTTTAAAGACATAATCTTCAAACAATTAGATACCGAAATGAGTATATTACGAGGCATTCAGCTGATCAATGGCGTTTCGCTCTATGAAATTTGTAAAATGAATTACGATAGAGCTTATTCAATTGTGAAAAATCTCAAAAGTTGGCGTGTACCACCGCTGCACAAGCTGACGATGTGCACGCAAATGATTGTTAAAAGACACTTGGCAAATATTTTCATACGGCTACATTTGGAATTGCTCGCCACAGATCTGTTTATGTCTGACGATTGCAAGTTGAACTTGCCCTACACCGTTTGCCGAATTGTTGCCGAAAAAATGAGTCGAGAGGATCTCTTCCATTTGTTCGAGGGGTAAGCGAAGAACGACGAATAATACACTCGGTGCCTGCAGTGCGATCGAGCTGATGCCTCCCTGCGCGTCACCAGTTGTATAGCCCAGGCCCTATACAAGTTTCACTGGAACTCTTTTTCTTATTCTACGTTTACTTAACGTAAAATTTCTCGCAATCGAATTCATTTCTCGAGAAAAAATGAAGAAAGGATTGTAAATAATTAATCTAAAATGTGATTGCGTAATTTTTTTAAATTTCTAAAAACCTACACTATAAAATGTATTTTAATAATTTTAAAAAATTGTCCAGGTTAAATAAAATTTTTATTTCTATTGTAAGTATGAAAGCGTGTTATCTCACACTCGTTTCCTAATAATTAGATCTTCCGCTGGAAAAGAATACACGTCATAAAAAATTGATCCGATTTCGTGCATGTCATTCCTCTACCAACATTTGACGACGATCCTCTTGGCCGTATACGTGTGTGCTGTAGTGCACGCATGCCACAACATTGATCCAGTGACTCATGCGAAAATGTCACATGCACACGCCTGCTACACAATACGGCGGTATATAAGTGCGCGCAGCGTTTAGCTGTCCAAGAATCCAATATAATACGTATATACACAGATATACACACAGCAAAGAGCCGTACGTGTGTACGTGCCGGACGAGATCCGAGCTTAAGCTGGCGAAAAGAAGCAGAAGAATAAGAAGTCATCCTGTGCTATACGTGTATATCGGCGCGCTCCGAGCGGAAAGGCTTGTTTACACGCCGCCAGCGATAAGGTTCCGACTCTTTTGATGCTGAATAGTCAGCTCTCTTTCTATATATCTCGTCTCTTCTCTGCTGCTGCTGCTGCTGGTCTGTCTCTTTTGGCGCAGCGCATACACATATCTACACACGCACACACACATTCGGAGCAAAGCCGAACAGTGCCACGGAGTGCGCAGAAAATCGTACTGTATAGCATTATGGCTACGGTTGTTGGCAAAGCGCCTCGTCTCGCGAAACCACGTATATATATATTCGGTCGACGTCGTCTCGACTCTTCTCGACGCTGTGTAGTATGCGCACAGGCGATTGTTATACTTACGAACACGGTGCAGCGCAACTGCGTATCTATATACACACGAGTGTGTGTGTATAGCTTCCATCGGATCGACTCATGTGTATGTGCGAGTATATGCATGCACTGCCGCTCGCTCCGCACAACGCCAAGCCCAATACGATCCGCCACAGCTGCATGGCCGAGAAAGGCGCGCACACACATGCACAAACTGTGCTGCTGCTGCTGCTACTCTGGCTTATAACACACACGCATAACACACGAGCGAGTCTGCGAGAGAGTATACGCGAAGCGGCCCCCGACAGCGGTGCTCAACCCGAGTCTGCGCGTCAAACTGCGCTATCTCGCCCGACGACGAGAGCCTTTTTTCGCGGCTCGAGGCACGCGCGTACGTATATATGCTCGGCGTTGCAATTCGCAACGTTACGTACATGTATGTAATATATATAAAATATAAAATATATAAGCGCTGTGCAGCATGTGTGTGACTAAGCCGCACCGTATAAGAGTCTGTGCACAATATCGCGATCTTCGCGAAGCGGCTTTAAGCGCAAAGTCGGGGGCTGTAAACGCGTTGCTCTCTCATTGTTCATTTTTTTTATTCCGTCGTCGTACGTTGATATCGTGTGTGACGCGTTTCTATGAGAGAGCTTTAGCGCACAGCTGTGAGCTTGCAGCAACTTCGTTGCAGTCTTGCGCCATCGTCTCGTGATCGATTTAATCGTTCGCTGTACGTTGTAATCTGTAAAGAAGACTTGCCCGCGATAACCGCGCGTATATAAACTCATTTATCTTCTGAATGCAAACGCTGTAAAGTTTAGCACAAGCGAAGCCGAGCTCTCGCCGTCCGATGAAATTCCCATTTGCCGCCCATTGACATAATGAGTTTGCGCCGCCGCGCGCATATCGGACATCTTGAAAGCAGCTCAGAAGTGTATACGTACCTACGCGCGTCCCATCTGTAATTCGTTCTATCGACTTCGGGCAAGCTCCCGGGACGGGGATCTCGACGGAGACGTCGTCCGCGCGCGCAAGCACGTGTCGCGCGCTAACTTTTCCCAATTATAACAAACCAATTTCTCGAGCTGTATGAGATTCGAGACGACGGAGAGCTCGGAGAGGTAAGCGTCGATCTCGAGATCGTGAGTGGCTAAAACCGCTCGAAAAGACGATATAATATTGTGAGCGGGTTGCAGCGCACACGATACGCTATACACACACAAATGTGGCATCTATATAAATCAGAAAGGCAATCCAGGCCAAATTGCGAACGTTTGAATTCCTCGTCGGTGCTGCAGTGTGCATCGTCGAGACGCGCCGCGGAGACCAACCCGATATACACGTATATAATAATATACACAAAGCCGTGTACGAGCGAGATTCCCTCGATGCTTTCTTGCTCTTTCTCCCACAAGGAGCTGTTGCTGTTGCTGCACTTGAAGTCTCTCTCTCTCTCTCTCTCTCTCTCTCTATCCTTCGGTGCATTCGACGAAGCGAGCGCCTCGGCAATGTCTGCCGTTGAGCACTGTGTGCTGCGTTATACATGTATATAACTGGCCCTGACCGAATTGTTTCCTCGTCGAAATGATCGTTCTGCGTATGAATGTACGTGTCACACTGCGCTCGCTCGCTCGCGAGATAGTGTGCGCTTTTAAAGAGAGAGAGAGAAAAAAACATAAAACGAACGAGAAAGTTATTGGGACTATTGCGCAAAGTTTTTAAAACGTTGCACTGACTGCGAGATCGCAAATTACCGAATGCGTACGTATTGTACGCGCAACGCGGATGTATGCTGACTGCGATCGAAAGGGCAAAGAGAGGGACAGCTTATCGTCATTTTAACTTTTACTTCGTACGTGTATAACGTATGCGTATTCTTTGTCCTCGCTGAAAACATTACGGAAGATAATGATAATAAAGTTGCAAGCTGCACGCGTGGATTTTATCTAAAGGCATTTTACGTGCACGTTATGTACGAACGAGAGAGAGAGAGAGAGCGAGAGGCGCGACAAGTTGTCACCTTGGAAGGAAGCGAGAGACAGAGCGCGAGAGAAGGTGTATACAGAGTCAGAAAACGAGATTCCGAGGAAAGTAATTTCACGAGCTTGCGCTGAATTGTGCATAGACGCAGAAAAAGGAGCTTTACTATTATGATCAAGCAGAGCATTTATTATGTATACTAACCTGCCAACATAATGGCGGACGAAGTCTCTTTTCCTTCGATGGATGGAATTTTGAGGCCTTCTTTTTCTCTCTGTATATATACACACACTAGCAGCGAGCGTGCCGCTGTGTATGTGTACGTACAAAGTAACGAGCTTATATTCTTGGAGCTGCACCTGCGCTTGCAGCTTTATGTGTGTGTGTATACGATCTCTTTCCTCCCTTTTTGCCACCGGGATTGTATCTATACACGAGCTCTGTGAATGTTTTTCAATGGTCAACGTGCATCGCGTGTGAGCTCGGGTCGGTGGTGGTGGCGATCGATTCTTTGACTGCAAACACGTTCTATATACACACATACATACACACGTTTTACTGGGCTATATAGAATTTCAATAAAGATAAAAGCTGCGCCAGCGACTTGCACACCAACACACACACACACACACTTTTACAGTAGACACACGTGTGCGCGCCATGAAACGATTTCATTGCTCGCTTGCGAAGTGTATGAGGATAATTTTTAAACTGGCTAAATTACAACCAAGTGCAGTGTATGTACTCGATAGCTCTCAGGGAGAGAAGGTGGTGCATTATACGAGTCGACTTTTGTCTATACTATCGCGAGGCCGCGATGCACTACTTAATGCCGCTATCCGTCTTCCTTGACGCGCGTGTATATAAGGAACGACGAAGACTATAGAGATACACGAATAAATCGCAAGCTTGATTTCCTCGAGAAATTGGCTGTACCCAATGGACTCGAATAAGCGTGAGAAATCATTGGGCCATAAGTACGCGAGGAATATTGGCGCTCGCTCGAGTGACATTTGTATCGCGTTTCTCGTTATGGGCCGCGCAAGAGCAAGAGAGGTATAGAAAGAGAATAACGATCCGTGCCCTGCGTACTACTGCGCAGTAGTGCGAGAGAGAAACAATATGCGGCAGATTTTCAAATAAGATTTTAGCTGACACCGAAGCAATTGACCCTACGAACACGACGCGCGCGTCTATATAGCTTCGACGATGAAATTTAGTTCAAATTTAAAAGCTTCAGGCCATTGACTCCGTTATTTGAGTTACGAATTTTTTATTCATCGAGTTTCGAGAGAAAATCCATCCTTTTGCGAATAGTTCATTACTCGCTAAAAGGGGGAAACGTATCGACAAAAGGTTGCCGATTGTTGGGCGCGAAGTGCAAATCGTTCAAACCGTACAAATTAAATTGACATTCCAAAAATATTTGTTTTTTCCGCGCAATACGCGCGAGCCGTACTATTACAAAAATTTAAATTCGAGCTTTTTAGCAAAGCAATTTTGACTTCGATCCGCACCTGGAATTTTTTTTCGATATCCATTCGAGAAGGTGTCGATGATCGTTTCCATGCTGCGCATCGATGCCTCGAGGCCAAGGCGCGCTCAACTCGTTGTTTACGACAATCGTTGAAATCGCGAAAAACAATTGATCACGTAGCCGTAGAAAAGTTGAGGCGAGTGAGACAAAGACAGAGAGAGGGAAAAAAAAGAATAACAATCCCGGCCGCGATATTGGCAAGTACGTTAATTCCCGCTTAGTCACGCGTTTCGAGCCAGCGAGCGAAAAAAGGAGGAAAAATAAGTCGTTATCTTGCGGCTTTCGGCACAATAATACACTGCAAAGCTCAATAAAATATCTGTATAAGTTTCTTTGTGCTCCCGCGCGCTGTATCGATTTTTTTCACGTTGTTCGGACTCGAAACAACTACAGCGCCAGAGCGCACACAGTTGCAAGGAAAAAGGCTCGAGCGTGGCACCTGCGGATGAAATTTCGCAGCGATAATCGAGTTCTGTGGTTCCCAAAACCCCCGAGTAACGTAATTAGATCCATTTCCTTAGCAGGTATTAGGTACGTTTAAAAAAATACTACTAAAATATATTTATCCGATGCACAGATGCAGTTTTAGGTTTTTCCCTCGTAACTATAGTTCGCAAGGTTTTTAGATGCTATACAAGAATCAAAATACAGGAAAACCCTGTCTCGCTCCAACCA